GAGGGTTACCTTGTTCAACTCCTCATTATCTGGGGAAACTGAGGCCCACAGGTTCGGGGGAGACCTCTATCCCTCAGGGTTCCCTAAGCTCTTGGGGCTTGCTGGACCTCAGCCTGGGTCACCACCTTGTCGGGAGAGGAATGATATGCCTGACTGCACCCTAGTCACTCATTGATCGCCTCTCTCTCAGGGGCACTGGTGGGACCTTCTCTGTGGCCCACGCTGGGGTTCCAGCAAGGAATCAGACCAAGGTCCCAGCCCGGCTCTCCTGGAGCTTGGATTGTCGTGAAGGGGATGGACAAAAGCCAAGGGACAAGTTCATGAGCATTGGGAGGTGGTGGAGGGCACCCCCCAGCTTGGGTGGAGACTGGGGCAGGGTCTCTATGAACCATGCAATAGGAGAGCTGACCTGGAGGGGGAGAAGGAGCCGGTGAGGGAAGCAGGGGGTCTGCGCTCCAGGCAGGTGTGCAAATGTGTACAGGCCTCCTGGGGCGGCGTTTGGACTCGATCCCATGGGGCGGTGTGGTGGGTGGCAGGTGGGCAGCGGCTCTGTCTTTGTGACCCCAGGACTGGACCAAGCAGCCCCTTCGACAAGTCCGTGGGTCTGAGCTGAAAGCAGAAGGTGGCCAAGCCACCTCCTCATCGCCCTGCCCTTGAACTCTGCACACAGGGCTATCCTCTGGCCTCTGTACCCTTGAGAAACCCCGAGGGGCAGGGAACGTCGTTTCCTGGTGCCAACAGAGCAGGGCAGGGTCAGAGGGGCTGCAGGAGCCCTGGGGGGAGTCTGGCATTACCAAGGATTTGCAGGACTCAGTTCTCCGAGCTCCCAGCCACCCCCCCTCCTCTGAGTCCTGGGAGATTCCAGCCTTGGTTTCACCGGCCAATCAGACCCCTGAGCTCTCGGCCCTTGTTTCTTGGTCAGACAGCCCAGGGGAGACCAGGTTCTGGCTCCCAGGGTTTTCTCTCCTGCATGCCTGCCTGGCCCTCCCCTCACCCTTCTGGATATAAACCTTCCCAAGATTCCACCTCCTGGGGCTCAGGATGTATCCTGTCAGTCCTCTTCCTGGGCTTCCCTGGCCTGCCCTTGCTTGTATAGTGATCGGAGCTGGCAGGGGTTCCGGGGTCTTTAATCCAATGCCATCAGCCCCAGCTGCATCACTGGGGCCCACTGTGAGGCAGCTGGCCCAAGGGGCCATTTATGACCAGGTGACTCTGCCCAAGGACTCCTGGTTGCAGTGTTTTAAGTGCTCGGCTGCTAACCGAAAGTTCGACGGTTCAAACCCACTAGCTGCTCTGGAGAAAAAGGCTGTGGTGTGTGCCCCTGTCAAGGTGACACCCTAGGAAGCCCGGGGGGCTGTTGTGCTCTGCCCTTCAGCGTCACCATGAGGCAGCCGGAGGGCCCTGGATTTGGAATCTGCCCAGCTGCCTGCCTCTCCGGAGGCCAATTGCTGTTATCAATGGAATCCCTTCTTATCACCCCTCACTCTGGAACTGACTCACCTGATGGAGGAGGGCAAGGTGGGGGTGGGGCTCCCTCCTCAGTTTAAAGAAAACCCCAAACCAAACCAGTCACAGTCCAGTCAGCCCCACTCATGGTGACCCCGTATCCGGTCTCAGGGAAGAACTGTGCCCCACAGGGTTTTCAATGGCTGGTGGGAGTAGAGGGTGGGGTGGGGGTGGGGGTGGGGAGGTACATCAACAGGTCTTTTTCTGAAGTACCTCTGGGTGGACCCAAACTTCCCACCTCTTGGTTACCAGCGCTACACAGCCTGCATCACCCAGGGGAGGAGAGAGAATGAGTTCTGCAGCCTCGGTCTCTCCGCCTGCATGAGAAAAGAGCCACACTCTTCAAGCCAGGGCCCGCATAAGCACTAAAAAGCTAAGGTCGGGTCCTGCTGGTGAGGCCGCTCCAATCCCCGGGGAGGGGTTTCTAATGGTTTGCACTTGATTGCTTCGCCAAAGGGCTGACAGAACCCAGGCAGGTGTCCCACAGAAGAAAGGCCTGTGATCTGCTTCTGATTACAGCCAAGAAAACCCTGTGGGGCAGCTCTGCTCCGGCACATGGGTCACCACGAGTCGGGTCCACATGGCCAAGAATTGTTTAGGATGTGCACCGGAGTGGAGGATCGCCTTGTAGCGACGGGTTGTATGTGACTTTCAGGAAAACGGGCCTGAGGTGATGGGCTGTGAGCTAGGAACCGATTTCTTGTGTCAGAGGCAGGTGAGGCCCACTGGGCAGCTTGGCCTTCCAGGAGGGGGACCTGGCCAGTGCCTTGGGACATGACCCAGTGGAGGCCACCTTTGGGCAGGGAGAACCAGCCATGGGTGGGCTGGAAAGTCTGAAGTACCTTCTCAAGAAGCTGCGAAGCATTTCAATGTTTTGATTGGACGTTTAAAGTAAATCCCAAAGCACAAAGTTGATACGTGGATCCAGGCGGTTCACTGACAGCGACCTCGCCAGCCTGGGTCCTCTTTGTGCAGGGGACGGTCACCAGGGAGCTTGTATAAGCAAGTGGGAGTCTGCGGAGTTCTCTTGGGGTGAGGTATCTGTGGGTTGACATGTTCGTGAACAGGTTGGGCAGTGTGTCAAAGAGCAGGGGCTTTGGCACCCATGCATGAGACACGGAATGACTCCATACCTCTGTTCCCCCTTCCATACAAAGCCGTGCCCATGCCAAGGGGCAGCATGGAGACCAAGTGAGACCAGGTGAGGTGGCTTGGCCTCCAGGCCTGCTGTCATTCCCGATGGGTTGGAGCTGGTTGCTTGGCAGTGGCTACCTCTCCCGCCTCCACTTCTGTTGCTCTTAGGATGTCTCCAACTGCACCCGCCCCCCCCTTTGCCTTTCAGAATTGGCAGTAAAATCAATTTCCCCATACAGGTGTGTGTGGTGGGGAGGGGGTGCTAGGTGGAGGTGAGGGTAGGATACTCATTCCTTGGGGAAGGCTTTGATAAGATAAAAGTATTTATTTGCTGATGGTCTGGCTCTGAGCCCTCACTTGTCCTGTTCTCCTCTTGAAGAGTTGCCAGCGGTGGACAGCAAGCTGGTAGAGATGCTGGGCCAGGACCTCTTGCCCTGGATGGACCGGCTCTCCCCGGAGGAGCTGAACCCCAGCATCTACGTGGGCCTGCGCCTCTCCAGCGTGCAGGCTGAGACCAAAGAGGCCCTCTACCTGCACAACCTCAAGCTCTACTACCAGCAGTGCCTCCTGGAGTATTGTCAATCTCTCTTTTCTTGTCCCATCCCCACCCCCGGCTTGCTCCACATTTTAAGTGACAGGAGATCTGGTTCTGGGCCAGGCCTGCCTGTCACTGCTTTGTTGGGAGACTTGGGGTGTTTTGTTTCCTCTAGACCAACCGCCCAGGGTTGGTCAGGTTAGACCAGAAATGCCAATTCTAGATTCATGTGCTATTACTGTGCCTGCCTGTGCCTGGGCAGACATCACTAATCCATGACCACACTCCTGCATACTGAGCCCAGAGGTTATCAGTTGACTCTGTGCTCCCTTCCCAGATGGTGGTGAGGGAAGTTTGTTCTGGACATTAGTGAAGGAGTTTGAATGGGGTGCAGAAGCAGCACCTGCTTGGAGCCCTGTGGCTGTGTCTGGGGTGGGGGAAGGAGATAAAACGGGAGTGCATGAGCAGGTCATTGGATGAAATTCAGTTTGTTCTTGAATTGTCATTTCATGAATCTCTTGTGGCTTATACCTTGTGATTTACAGAGCCACCTGCATCAACACTTGCAGGTTGTAGCTATGATGTTTCCCACTCAGAGGTTATAAGGGCACCCTCAGTCTCATGGAGTGCATTTCGCTCATGTCAGTGTTGTTAACTGGCCTCGTTTCAGGGCTGGCTCCAGTGATGGTGATGAAGACAGGGGCTTCCAGGTTAAACCCTCCATGGGCCAGCTGGCCTTGTACCTGCTTGCTCTCAGAGCCAACTGCGAGATTGTTGGGGGCCGTAAGGGAGACAGGCTGGTCTCACAACTCAAGAGATTCCTAGAGGATGAGAAGCTGGCCATTGGTGAGGGGACCCTGCTGGCCAGGCCAGGGAGCAGCTGGGAGGGCTCAGGGAAGATCTACCCTACCCCAGCCTCTGCTGCCCTGAGCACCAGCCTCAGCCAGCTGGTACCCAGGGGCGACCTCACGAAAATCTAACACGTCTGAACTTGGGGTTTCCTCTGCCTACTTCCTTTCTGTCAGGCTTACTGTCCAATCTGCCCACGAGCCTTGATCCATCCTTTCCTGTAGGCCCCACACCCCAAGGGAAAGCCTGACAACTTAACTTGATGACAACCAAGACCTGTCTCTACCCAGCTTCTGCAGAAACCACACAACTTCTTTACCGGCGCCCCCCTCACCCACCCCCATCCCCCCACCCCGCTTCCTTGGAGGTCTGCCAAGCATAAATCTGTTCTTGTGAGCTGCCACTGAGGCCCCACACCGGCTCTTTATGGCTCCATTCTCAGCCTGCAAGCTTCTCCCCTGCCCTCTACCCCACCCCCTCGGCCTAGCTGTCCACCAGACTCCTCCTCCACGGGGTCTTCATACAGGGGCTCCTTCTGCCCGCATTGGCTGCCCTCTACTCATGCTCCACGTTTAGATCTCTCCTCTCCTCCTGCGGGTCACTTCCACAAGGAATCCTGCTCTGACCCCTCAGCTGGTGACTTATCTTGGCTCTGGGATCCCACTTGTACTCCCATGAGTGTGGGTGGTCTTACTGTCAGTGGTCTTCTCCGCTCAGTACCTGTCCTGGCCTCACTGGGCCAGCCCTGTCACTTAGTGGGACCTCAGGAGCGTGGGCTGAGGTCATGGAAGCATGAAGGGGAAGGATGGGCATGGGGGTGGGGGGTGGGGCTGGGTACTGGCAGGTGGGAGCTGGGCCCCCAGCATGCAATTTTCTTTCTTCTAGGGCACAATCACAAGGGCCACCCCCACACCAGCTACTACCAGTACGGCCTGGCTGTGCTGGCCCTGTGTGTCCACCAGAAGCGGCTCCACGACAGTGTGGTGGGCCAGCTCCTGCACGCTGTAGAGCAAGACTCGCCCCTGGACCAGGGCCACCTCTCTGTGGGTGAGGAAAGGATCCTGGGCCAGGAGGGGGCTTCCTACCCCTGCCCTCACCCTCGGCTTTTGCTTTTCCTTAAGACCTGCCCTCATCAAGGGCAAAAGGCCCCTCCAGGGCTGGGGTGGGGCACAGGACCCTGGCCAGCCCCCCTACACTCAGCCGCCCTACACCCTCAGGGCAAGGAGTGGGGGTCTTTCCGACTCAGCCTCCCCTTCTGTAAAATAACCGCCCAGAAGCATCTGTCTGGCTAACGGGACTTCTTAGAAGTCAAAGGCAGTTTACTTCCAAGTGGTTCAGTAGCAGAATTCTCACTCTGCGAGGGACACGAGGGTTCGATTTCTGGACCGTGCACCTCACCTGCAGCCCCACCTGGCTGTCTGTCCATTGAGGCTTGCTTGCTGTTTGGCAGCTGAAGAGGTCTGACCCGCAGCCCATGACAGGGAGGGCCCAGGACCCGGCAGTCTTTTGCATTGTCATGCACGGGGTGGCCATGAGTCAGGGGCCAGCTGGCCGGCTCAACCCAGCAACGATGCTCGCAGATTGCTCAAGACAGTGTCTGGTTCTACCTGTGTGCCCTTGGGCCCTCATCTCTGTGCCTTGTCATAGTGAGTCAAGGTGTCCTAGCGAGACATGGTGTTCCGTGAGTATCGACTCACAGAGGGAAGGGTAGAGTGGGTTTGGAGCAGTTTAAGTGCCCCCCCCCCCCCAAAAGGGACCAGGGTCTCTGCTGCCGAGTTGATTCTGACTCACGGTGAGCCCAGAGGACACAGCAGAACGGCCCTGGAGGGTTTCCAAAGCTGTCGATCTTTATGTAAGCGGGCTGCCTCGTCTTTCTCCTCCAGGGAGGCTGCCGGGTTCAGGGTACCCACACGATAGTTTAGAAGCCCAATGCCAACCCACCGCACCACGCCCTGACGAGCTTTAAAAGCCCCGGTGTCCAGGCAGCACCCTGTGCCGGTGCCACCAGACCATCTGGGGGCAGGCCCAGCCTTCATGACGTTGTGAAACTCCCCTGGGGATGCAGAGGGCAGAGCAGGGCTTCGGCTGTGGCTTCCCATCAGTCACAGCGGGTGAGGTGAAACGGAAACCGGCCCAGGTTCATAAAATGTGGGTGAACCATAAGGTGACCAGACGTCCCGCTATTGGCGGACAGTCCCCATTTTTAACAAATTTTCCCGCGTCCCGTGGCAATTTAAAAAAGTCCCGATTTTTGGAAAGAATGCACAACAAGCTAGGGTAGACGGTTTTCGGCTGCCATGTGGCTATTTCGCCAGGATATGAGTTTTATCAATGGTGTCCCGCTTTTGTCCCACTTTACCAATGTTAAAATCTAGTCACCTTAATGAACCAGAATGTCCACTGGAATGGGTATGATGACGGCTGACATCCTTGCTAACAACTGAGTCACCATCTCAGAAAACAACGGCCGCCTGTATTTTATTAAAATCATTTTATTGGGGCTCATACAACTCTTATCACAATCCATACATACATCAATTGTGTAAAGCACATTTATGCATTTGTTGCTCTCATTATTCTCAAAATTCGCTTTCTGCTTGGGTTCCTGGAATCAGCTCCTCATTTTCCTTTTTCCCCTCCCTCTCCTTCCCCGCTGCCCCCTCCCTCATGACCCCTTAATAATTTATAAATTATGATTTTATCTTGTCTTACACTGCCTGGCATCTCCCTTCACCCACCCTTCTGTTGCCCATCCCCCAGGGAGGAGGTTATATGTAGATCCTTGTGATCGATTCCCCCTTTCTACACCCCCTTCCCTCCTGGTATCGCCACTGTGCTGGTCCTGAGGGGTTCCTCTGTCCTGGATTCCCTGTGTTTCCAGTTCCCATCTGTACCTCTGTGCATCCTCTGGTCTAACCAGGTTTGCAAGGTAGAATTGGGATCTTGATAGTTGGGGGGAGGGAGCGTTTAAGAACTAGAGGAAGGGTGTGAGTTTCATTATTGCTACACTGAACCCTGAGTGACTCATCTCCTCCCCACTACCCCTCTGCAAGGGGTGTCCAGTTGTCTACAGATGGGCATTGGGTCCCCATCACGCGCTCCCCTCATTCACGATGATACGGCATCGCAGCCACATTCTTGATCGGCAGAGTCAGAAACAGCAGCGCCCCACTGTGCTGCTTGGAGTGTGCATTGCTCTAATCCAGTCTCCCGTGAGCAGGCCCCCGAAAGGGCTCTCTTCACCGGTGCTGGGTCTCCCATTCCACACTCCCCTTCTGGTTATAATTCTTCTTCCACCCAACTTTAAGAATGTGGATTTGTTCTCTCACTGTGCCTGTTAAAAGCCTTGAGATAAGTTCTCTTGAGCCTCCCTTCGCCCCTTCCTACCTTCTGATCCCCCAAAGTACACAGTGGTAGGGTGACCCACCATTCCAGGGTGCCCAGGTGGGGGGTTTTCCAGGACACGGGGTGTTCAGTGCCCACACTGGGAAAACCCTGCACCACCTGCCCTGAGATGGCCCCCTTAGCTGGTAGAAGAGTTCTGAAATACTCACCTGGCCACCCCGCCTCCCTCCTCCAACCCCTCCATGGTCTCAGAGGCCCGGCCCGGCGTGGCCCCCACTTGGCTCCTCCTGATCCCATTTTGTCTCCCTTCAGACACGGCGGCCATGGCAGGCCTGGCTTTCACCTGTCTAAAACGCTCCCACCTGAACCCTAAGCAGAGAGAACGGATCATCCTGGCCATTGGGATGGTGCGTGAGAGAGTCCTGCAGGCCCAGACACCTGAGGGCCACTTTGGAAGTATCTACAGCACCCCGTTGGCACTGCAGGTGGGGCAGAGGCCCTGGGGCACCCCGCTCCATCCTCAGGGCTGGTGGAGGGTGAACTGGCCGGGGGCTAGACGGCCCACTCCTCTCTGCCTGCTGACCACACGCTTCCCTCCCTTCCCCTCTCCGTCACAGTTCCTGATGACGTCCTCCGTGCCCGGGGTGAGGCTCGGCGCAGTGTGCCACAAGGCGAAGGCTGCCCTGCTGGCCAGCCTGCAGGATGGAGCCTTCCCGAACACTCTGGTGCTTTCCCAATTACTGCCCGCGCTGAACCACAAGAGCTACGTGGATCTCCTCGCCCCAGACTGCCTGGCACCAAGAGGTAGTAGAACCACGCCTAGCCCGTCCTTGATGCGTCTGAGGGTCTCCCTAGGGAGGTGTCTTGGTCTAGAGCTGAATCAACAGGGGGTGGGGATGTGGAGGTGCACTGGCAGCGGTGATGCGGCTGCTGTTTCTAGAAGCTCAGAGTGTGGAGAGGGAAGCAGAGCGCTCCAGAGGGGCCGAGGCGGAATCTCCCTGCCCTTCTGTGGATGAATGAGGGAAGAGAGGAAGGCCGAGACGGGGGGAGGGGGGGTGTTCATTTCTTCGGCTGCTGCAACACAGGTCCCACAAGAACAAACCAGGCTTTAAAGAACAGGGACGCCTGGTTTGAGAGGCTAGCAGCCCAGGCCAGGGCATCGCTCTAGGGGCAGGTCCTTTTTTGGTGATGGTTCTGAAAGCCCGTGGGTGTTCTTTGGCATTTGTCTCCCCTCTGTGCGTGCATGTCTGTGTCTGAATGTGTGTCCAGGCCCATTCTGTTCTTTTTATAAGACCCAGTTGGCTAGAGAGACAAATCCAGCCACCTTCGTCTGAGTACTGTATAAGCAAGCACTTTCCATCAAGAGATGTAATTCTGTATCAAAAAGGCGTCCCAGCCCAGCCCAACTCAAGCCCGGCAGTCTGATGCTGGTCCGTTAGTCCCTCTGAGCCTCACACAGCCACAGGCAGTGATGCAGACTGCAGGGGTCGCAGGCTGGCGGGTGCGCAGTCGTGTGGATCCAAGGTCGGTGGGAACCTGGCTGCTGTTGGGGTCAGTGACAGAGTCCCAGCCAGCAGGAAGGCGAAGGAGCAGAGAGAGAGGGAGGTCCCCAGGGTCCCCGCTTATAAGAAGGCCACACCCCCCAAGGAGGCATCATCAGGCTGTGACCCGATTGGCAGGCTGGCTTCCGCCCCTCCACTTTCCTACATCTTTGAATTTGGCATGAAATCGTCTCACGACCACAACACCATTCAGAAAAGATTAGGTTTAGGACCCTCCCCAATCCAGGATGGCCTCCTGAAGACCACAAAGAAAATCTCTGTTTCCAAATAGGGTCATATTTACAGAGACAGGTTTAATCCATCAGGAGCCACGTGCTTGGTGGACTCTGATCCCACCTAACAAGCCCCACCCAGCAGCCGGAAGCAAGGCTCCACCTGGGAGGGGGCTTGGAGGGGACACGTGGAGGGGGGACAGGGAAGGGCTAAGCAAGGAGGAAGGAGCGAGAACAGCAACACCGTGTAGCGGGAGGAGACGGGAGTTGGAGTGCAGGGGTCTTGCTAGAGAGAGGGGTCTGGGAGAAGGAGTGGAGGTGGAATGGGATGGAGGAGGAGCCCCTCGGAGGCAACCGGGGAGTGAACTGAAAAATCATGTTCTGGAAAGAGCCCTCGGGGGACTGTGACAGAGGATGATGGGAAGAGGGTACAGGAGGTAGAGAGGCCTGCAAGGGACGAGAACTTGGCGTGGTGGGATGTGGGGCTCGGGAACAGAGGGGGCTGGGTGGCAGCCGGGCTCCCGGCTGTGGGGGTGGCGGTGATGACTGAGATGGAGACGTGGGGCGGAGGTGTGCACTGGGCGTCGTGTCTCTGTGGGAAGAAGGAAGGACTAACTGCTAGTGCCCAGCTTCACACCGGTGGCCCCTCTCTCGCTCTTTCCCCAGCAGCCCTGTTGGAACCGGCCACGGAGACCACTTCAGAGATCCAAGTTCCAGAGCCCATCAGGGTCCTGCTGCGGGTCCCCAGCCTCCTGCCACCATATCAACACTCCGTCTCTGTCCCTGCTGGCTCCTCCTTGGAGGACGTCCTGAAGAAGGCCCGGGAGCTAGGAGGATTCACGTGAGACCCCCACCCCCGGCCCCCTCCTCCCCTGACCCTGTATCTCTGAAACTGCATCATGGGAGGGTCGGGGAGGGAGGAGAGGCTCCCCTCCGCAGAGGTGTAGGGCTGGGTTCTCCCCACCTCCAGACACACTCTCCCGCAGCGGGGGAAGTAGGAGCCCTGGGCCTGTGTTGTTCTCAAGGGCCCGGACCCAGGGGCACCAGCTCCTGCACTGGTCTCCCCCCTGCCTCTGTCCAGAATGACTTACCTAACCACCGTAGAGCGACCTCAACTGTGCTCTCCGCACTGGGCCTGGGTGGGAGTCCAGGATGTATGTGGGTGCCCATAGGGATGGCTAGACAGACACATGAGTGTAGAGGTTGTTGTGAGGTGCTGTCAAGTTGGTTCCGACCCATAGCGACCCCGTGCACAACAGAAAGTTCACGCCGCCCGGTCCTGCGCCGTCCTCACAGTGGGTCCCATGCCTGAGCCCACTGTGGCAGCCACCGTGCCAAGCCATCTCCTGGGGCCTTCCTCATACCCTCTGCCCCTCCACCTTCCCAAGCTTGAGGTCCTTCGCCAGGGACGGCTCTCTCCTGGCAGCATGTCCAAAGTACATGAGACGGAGTGCGGCCATCCTGGCCTCTAAGGAGCACTCTGGATATACAGTGAACCCTCGCCACTTCGCGCTTCGACTTCCGCGGCTTCACTCTATCGCGGTTTTTGCGTAACAGCGCATGCTCTGTCATTACTGCCACTGATTGGCGCATACTGTACACGCTTCTGTCTGCATCGCTACGTATTGGAGCTACGTATCAGATGCATTTTTGCTTTTGGGTAATACGAGTGTAATGGTGACTAAAGGGTGTTTTTTCATGTCCTCTATGCTCTAACTACGAAAATATTTGATTTACAAATAAGGAATCCTACTTCGCGGAATTTCATTTATCATGGTAGGGTCTAGAACCGATTAACCGCGATAAACGAGGGTTCACTGTATGTAGACATATACAAATACGTGTGTGTGACCTACCAGTGTTGACTTACCCAATAAGGTAAGCATGGGCTGACTTGTGCTTACTTACCTATCTGTAGGAACAATTTCACGTATGTTCGCCTTACCAGATTCTGCTCCTAGAGCTGGCTGGCACTGGTCTCTCTCCCAACCCTTCGGCACCTGCCTATAGAATCACAAACTGCTTTTCAAATGCCTCATCCCTGACAGGGACAGAGTGCCCAGAAGCAAGGTAAGCGTGGGCTCGCTTGTGCTTACTTCTGGTCTCCACCACATCTTCGAGGAAAGCCCTGCGACATTGTTCACAGCAGAGGAGTAGAACTAACAGTGAGCTGATGGGGGCCTCTGGCTGCCTCTCACTTCCCCAGGGGAGGAGAATCCAGTCACGGCCCAAAGCTGGTTCAGAGGTCAGACCTGGCTCCCCGCTTCAGTCTTTTTTTACCAGTGCTGACACCAGCCACCTCTACTTCTCTGCGGGGCTGAGTGGCCACACAGAACCCACAGACGTGACTCCTGAAGATGGGGTTTCCTGGGGAAGTGACAGGTCACAAGTCGGGATCAGGATCACCTTGGAAGCCGCAGCCACAGGAGCGGAGAGCCTGTTCTGCCGCTCTGCAATCAACACAGCTTCTTCTCAGCTGTGCCCACAAACAGGACTCTTTCCTGCTTGATCAAGTGTCACAACTCTTTAGCCTTGCCAATCAGTGCCCAGAGGCACCCCACTCCACCAGTAAGCCTCCCGCCCACAGGCGCGCTCGGCTCTGTGAGTCAGCGGGCCCACCCACCACCTCCTCCTGCTGCTGCTGGCTGTCTTTAGAGCTGCAGGTCTCTCTTGGTCTCCTGGCTCCAGGAGGCTTCCCGCACAGAGACCCCAGCTCCAAAGAGTCTGCTACATTCCTGGGTCTTTTTTCTGGGCGTTCCTGAGGTCCCCTGCGCCTGCTTCTGGGGTGGCTCATTTTAGACTTAGGAGGATGCTGTGTGCCTTGTTTGCATGGCCCCGCTCCCACAAGTCTGTCAGGCGCCTTGTTTCCACAATGAACAAGCTCGCCAGTCCCCTTCACCAACGCTGGTGAAGAGTGTTGAAACCAGAACCACAGACAAGTCTGCCTTGGGAGAAGCACTCCCAGAATGCTCCGTCGAGGCCAGGCTGGTGAGACTTGGTGGACATGCTGTCAGGAGAGCCCAGTCCCTGGAGAGGTACATCATGCTTGGTAAAGTCGAGGGGCCGTGAAAGATAGGCAGGCCCTCGACAAGGTGGGCTGGCACCGTGGCGGCAATCTGGGCTCACCCACCAGAACCTTGTGAGGCCGGCGGGAGCTGGCGGTGCTGCTTCTGCTGTGCAGAGGGTCCCCACCAGCAGCGGCGGCAACATCCACCCTGTTTCGTACTCCCGCCCAGTTATTTGCTGGGCGTTACGTGACTGTGGGCGGAAGGCCATAAGGAAGTGATGCATTACGCTGTCATCAGCAAATACAAGCCAGCCATTCCTGGGCTGTATATGTGTGTGTGCATGTCTGTATATCTATACTGTACTTGTATGTGTGGATATGGATACATAGGGATACGTGTGTTAATATACGTGTATATGGGAACCCTGCTGACCCTGGTGGCTGAATAGTGGACTGCTGACTGCAAGGTCAGCAGTTCAAACCCACCAGCTGCTTTGCTGTCTGCTCCTGTAGAGATTTACAAAGCCCCACCGATGCTCTCATAGGGTCACTATGAGTCAGAATCGCCTTAATGCCAGTGGGTTTTACTTGTGTGTGCATAGATATGTGTGGATGTGCATGTATATATGTGGATATGATGACTGAGAGTCCAGGAGCTCGTGTTGGAGAGGACGTGGCACCTGCATTTTGCATCTGCAGAATTCAGCTCACGGTAAGCATTGAGGACAGATGAGCTTTTATGACAACCATACAACTTTTATTAGCAAATAATCTTGGTCCAACCCCTATTATCAATTGCCCTAGGCAAGCCCTCTGTAAAACATGAGGCTGGGACAGTGTTCTGAAGCTTCCTTCTCACCCTGAGATTTAATGAGCCAGAGGAGTAGCAGTTCTGGAGTGCTGTTCTAGGCCAGGTCCTGCCCGTGCATCTCTGCACATCACATCTCACATATATATGTATATATATGTACATCTCCGTCCATCCACACAGCCATCACATGCACGTCTCCGTCCATCTACCCATAGAGACAGCTCCCCAACCATCCACATGCACATCTCCATCCATACACACATCCAACTATATACATATCTCCATCCACCTATCCATATACACATCTCCATCTATCCACACATCCACCCATTTACATATCTCCATCCATCTACACATCCATCCATATACACATCTCCATCCATCATCCATCTAACCATATACATATCTCCATCCATCCATCCAACCAACCATATACACATCTCCATCCATTTTTCCATATACACATTTCCACCCATCTATCCATATACACATCTTCATCCATCCTCCATATACACATCTTCATCCACCCTCCATATACACATCTTCATCCA